TAAGATGAAGGAAGTTACGATGGCATCAGTCCTTACAGGTGAGGCCAATGGAAGGTGAAAAAATCTCTAGCGAGTAAGCAATCAAGGAAGTCCTATCTGAATCAGATTATGAGTTTTCATTTCTTAAAAAAGAGTCTGCTATAACAACACAAAGTCCTAGGTCTGAGGTTCTTGAGACATAGGGCAATTATGCCATCTGGCTTTAAAGCAGCAGTAATGTTTTGGATATTAGAACAAAATAATGTAAGTTATAAAGAGATGGACTTTGTGGGGAAAAAAAGCCTATTTTTTTTAAGAGGTTATACACTCTCTTGGTTCATATTTTAACACTTACAAAAGGATAAACAGTGAAAATCTCAATGTCTTCTCTTTCCAGCTTTCAAGTTTCTCTCCCTTGAAGTCAATCTTATATGTATAGTAGTTAATTCATGTATAAGCAATATCTTTTACTCTTTTTAAAGCAAATGAAATTGTACAAATGTTATGCATACTATTCTGCATTTTCCCCCACTAAATAGCATATCTTGGAGAATTGCTCATGTTTTAACAAGTCTCAAGTTTAAATGTTACAGTCCCAAACACTCATGTCTTGATAAAGGCACATGACATATAACAAAAACTCAACAAATGCTATTGCCAGTTTCATCACTCTCCTGAAATAAACAAAACAATGCTCTGCAGCACCTGTCTGCTGAAATGAAATTTGGTACTAGTCAATAAGGGATGCTGTTGTCCTCACCTCAGAACTGCAGTGGAAACATGCCTGGGGGGAACATTTCTCAAAAGTAGTATCTGAGAAGGGATCAGATGTATTTCTAATCCTGCCACACAAAGGAGGAAAAAACTCAAAAATTTTTGACTCAAAAATGTTTATGTTAAAATGTGAAATCACAGGTATCCTTGACCTCAAGCCTTGGATAACCTGAATTGTAGGATCAATAGTCAAGGAATTAAATAATTTTTTGATCAAAACTTAACCCTACTGTTTTAAGTATATCTTTGTTTGCCAGGTGATTGTACTTTCCTGTGTTAGAAATTTAACCTCAGTAGGAAATACATGAGATGTTGAAATGTTACCTGGTTTTCTAACTAGGGACTTATTATCTGCAGTCCAGGAATACTAACACATTGAATCATTACTGGTTGAAAATTGTATATGGAAGTTAATTTTAGGGTATTTGGGTAATTGTTTTCATTGCTGTGCTTTGTATTATTGCTAGCCACATTAGAAATATAGCTATTATTAATAGCAGTTGATATTTTATAAATCTATGATGTTAGAATTCTTGATTTATAACAGCTAAAAGCTGAGAATCTCTGCATTACCATTGTAGTATCACTTTCTGCCTGTGTTATCTTGGCAGCAACCAATAATATAGACTTTAACTTGGGGTAAGGGAATTAAAATAATGGTAACAGCATTAATTTGAGTTTGAGGAGTTGAGTTGACAACTTTTAGCTGCATTACTGCATTTGGTGTGCATTTGTTTGTTTAAAATCCCCACAATCTTAGAATCTTATTTTTGAATTAAATATTGTTTGGGCTATTGCCCCTTACTGAAAATGCAAGTTCTGAATCAGTGTCATTTTCATTAGGCAGCTCAGCATGGGTAGTGTGTTACTGGCTACTTATACTACTTATGTGTGCTTGCTTGTCTGTGTGTGTGCATGTGCATAAGGGTGGGAGAGAAGAATTTTAAATAAAATCAATAAGCTATTGAGTCACTTTTATTTAATGTTGTTAATAATGAAAGATGCTTACAGGCTTTCCTTCAGTTTTCTGAACCTCCTCCTTCAGCTGAGAACTAGACTGTAACTATACTCAGTTGATAGGTCTGAGAACATACAAGTCCTATGTTTATTACTGTATTCCTTCCCTTAATTAGACACAAATGGCTTACAGCATGCACTGTGTAATTTTTAATAATACTATCACATAAACACACATACACATTCATACTTAAGAGAATATAAGTTCCATTAGAGTAGGACCTTACCTGGCTTAGTCACAAAATTGTTCCCAGAATATTAAATGAATAAATATACTAGCACTACCTAGCTTATTATTTATTTGCATATGAACTGTAGTTTTTGATGAAAAATCTTGTTCTGTGCTGGATTATATTACCTCAAGTGTTTACATCATTCAGGACTTAAAATTTATGTTAACAGATTCTCTTTGGAAAACTTAATTTCTTTGATGTAATTTTATTTCAATTAAATTTCAGAACAAATAGAAGTTCTTAAGAAAATAAAACAGTAAAATATATAAATACTAAAGTAATTTTAAAATTTGGAAACATTTTATTTATAATATTGAATTATCTTCTGGGGAATGTACAATAAAATGCAAAACAATGGAACCTTTCTGAGTTCAACTAAAACAAAGGAACATTGCAAGATTTTATGTGTTGCATCCTTAGTGTTCTAATAGTAATGTATCATGATTTTATGCTCAATAATTATAATATTGATGGAAATTTGTTTGGCACAGGGCCCAAATTGCAACAGTAGTTACAATCTTATTTAAATAGTATGTTATTGTTTTTTATTAACACAGTTATGCATTGCTTAACAATGTTTAACAATGAGGATATGTTCTGAGAAATGTTTCCTTAGGCAGTTTCATTATGTGTGAACATCATAGAGTACACTTATACAAACCTAGATGGTGTAGTCTACTATACACCAAGGTTATATGGTATAGCCTATTGCTCCTAGGCTACAAACCTGTACAGCATGTTACTGTACTGAATACTGCAGGCAATTGTAACACAATGGTAAATGTTTATAAATATATCTAAACATATAAAAAGCACAATAAAAATACAGTATTATAATCTTATAGGACCATCGTCGTATAGTTCATTGTTGTCCAAAATGTTGTGTGGTGCATGACTGTATTTCTAACACTTAATCTACTTAATGATAACAATAAGTGTTATCATTAAACATAAATGATTAGAGGCATTGTAAAATACATCAAGTTGTATCCTTTATGTAGGTAGTCATACACAGTATAGCATTTTCATTGACACTAATATCACCCTTTAGTGAGTATATTATCATTATCCCATGACACTGGCACTATAGTGGAATTTAATTTCAATTGGCTATAAAATATCTTTCTTCAGTGAAGGTCAGTCTTACAATATTATCTCAATGCTTTTAGCTTATTGAGGAAATATTGGCAAAATGATTTATTCTTATTTAGCAGGCAAGATAATGGAACCACAGACAGGGCAAGTCAATTGCATAAGGTCGGTACACAGATCATTTTTATGTGTGTGAGATCAAGTTTCTCAAGCCACAATTATACTCAAGGGACTGATCAGTAAGTGCCTAAGACATATCGAAGAAATACAATTCAAATGTTTACCTTGCTTTGTTAGAAAGAATAAAGTTGCAGATTCATTTTGTATGGATGTGTTCAAGGCTTTAAAATTTGTGTGTCAAATTACATACATGTGCTGCCACATTGTATGTGGCAGATTTTTATATTATTTGAATGTGTTGACCTGTTTGAAGCAGTAATGAAATAAGCTGAAGTCAAGTGAATTGGGAGAGTTGTGATAATAAAAATGAATTTCTAGGTGGAACAAATATGTTTTTTGGTATTATAAGAGCAAGAGAGAAAGCAATATAAAAAAATCTATAGAGGTTATTTTTTAAAAGAACAATATAATTACACTAAAGGATATTAAAGATAATCATTTTAAAATAAAAACTAAACAGTGCCCTATCAAAGATCAAATTAGGGGATATTGAATCAAAATTATTGGACATCTTTGGGCTACCTCATATTTATCTTCCATTATTTTATTATTCTCTGTTTGGGAAGTTCTCTGAGTTTGCTCATAGCAAATCTTTTCCTCTTTTTTTTAGTCTAGTAGTTCCCATGTGTATTTTCCAGAGTGTAAAATCCTTGGGAAGCTCAGATAGAGAATTTGGTCAGAGAAGTCTAGGAAATATTATCTACAGTTACCCATCTCTTGGAAATTCCTAATGCACTCTAATACTTTTAAGGCTTCAAGAAATGGTCTAAGATAAGAAACCTGCTTTCTTTTGTTTATTCCAACTTCTACTAAAAGAGTTTGACTGTGAAATATATATAGTTTCACATTGCAAATGTTAACATGCTAGTGATTTGCTTTAGAAACTCAAGAAGAAGTTGCAGGGATGAGAATGGATAGAAAATGGAGTGAGGGGATATGGCTGGGCCAAGATAAATGTTATGTTTCATTGAGAATTTTTGCAGAGTTACTGATTTATTTCAATGACTTTCTCATTTTCCACTTTGCAGAAACATCAATTAAAAAATTCTGTTTGTTTTTTTGAATTGTATAGTTTGTCAAGATTGTTAGATTTTTATGCATGATTTTTCAACTAAACATGTATAATGTCATTTTGAGCCTGTGGAAAACATGCATTTGGGGATATCTTATCGGACTATTTTTAATTTATGCAAGTTACTTTACTTGGAGAGAGACATTTAACTGAAAAGGTCATTGCTCAGGAATCACTATGGTTTCAGATTTTTTCCTTTTCTCAAATGTTTTAGAATTGCTATCATCACTTTTAATAGGGATCATGAAAAAAATGTGTTATGTTTGGAATTCATAACAACCCCATATTTCACATTTAGCCCATGACACAAAACAATATATTTAATATTTTGGCAAATACAAGACTGTTTTGTGTTAATTTGAATATTATATATTTTGAGTCCTTTGTCTTTAAAAACTTGAGGAAGAAAAATTTGGAATTTGAAAGCTTTTAAGATGCTGTAACTTCATGCTTTTGAGATGGAGTAAATGGCTTCTCTGATGCCTGGGCATTTGGTTTGTTTTATTTATGACAGAACATGAAAATATTTTAAAACTAAGATTTATTGAGAACCTCATTTTATTAAGATTGTGATGTAAAATGTATATGTATTGAACTGTCATTGAAATAGGAGACATTTTACCCAGTGACATTTTAAATGAATCTCATTGTAGGGGAAGCCGGTGGGAACACCAGATGCTGGTGCTTATTTCCGTGTGCTTGCGGAGCATGGAGTAGCTGCCTTGTTTACAGCGCCAACTGCAATTAGAGCAATTCGTCAACAGGACCCTGGGGCAGCCTTGGGGAAACAGTACTCTCTGACAAGGTGAAGTTGGGATGCACAGTGCAAATTACATTAGAAACTGCAATCAGAATGAATAACTGAACATTATATTTTTTCTGGTACTGTGATATCTCTATGGGAAGAGCCAAAAGACTCTGAAAATTATTAAGAATGGCTCTTCTACATATGACCTAGAAATAGTTAAAATTTTAATTTTACTGAAAATTTTTTAAATACTATATTTCAGTTCAAATATTCAGTACTAAAATATTCTTCTTTTCAAAATTACTTGCTTATATTTTTCTTAAAAAGTAAAATGCTGATTTTGACTTATAATGCATATGGTTACATAGACATAGATATTAGCATCTTATTGTCTTTTGTAAATAAAAAATGGCTTAAAGGGAGGGAAAATGTTATTTGAATATATATATATATATATACAGATAAAATATGAAAATTATAATCCAAATGAGATTTGTTGAAAAAGTAAAGGGAAATCCTTTACTCTTATTTATAATAATGAGTTTTGGGTAGTTTAGATACTTTTATGATGGTTTATTGATATCCATTTTTGTTTAATGCTGTGCATATTCAAAGATAATTATATCAATTTGCATCTTCAAGACAGTTTCCAACATCAATTCTCATTGAAACTCTTTGAAATAGGTCACTGCTATCATAAACTAAAATAAAAGATTTTGTAGTTTCTTCAAGTCAAAAAGTGGGCTTCAATTAAAGTGGTCTAATTTTTTTAAGTTAAATGCAAGACTACTTGAATTTTATGTTCCTATGTTCCAAAGAAATTAAAATAGATATCATGTCCTGGGACCTAGTGTTACTTTCGCTACCTGTGAGCTGTGTCAGACCCAACACCAAAGAGACGTATATATCTAAGACTCTCTGAGATAAGGACAGTATGATCACTAAAGCCCATGCCTAATGACCTACACAGCCACTGTCACTGTCACAAATTTCTGCAGCCTAGATCACTGAGCCACCTGCAGTCATCATTAAGATTGATCACAACTGAAGAAGCTACATAGAGACTACACTACTGCACTCACGCAGAACCAGAGACACTGCACCCTTTCCAAATGATACCCTCAGACCCATCAGCAGGTGAAAGTTTTCTCCTATGAAAGTCATTCTGTATAGTTTGCGAGAGGTGACTGTACAACCAGACACACAGACACCAACACAGGAACACAGGGAACACAAAAAAGCCAGAAAACATAACACCACCAAAGGAACACAATACTTATCTTATACCTGGCCACAAAGAAACAGACATTTATGAATTGCCTAAAAAGGACTTTAAAATAATGATTGTAAGGAAGTGCAGAGATATACAGATAGATGATTTAATGAAATAAAAAAAAGTATGATCTGAACGAGAAATTTAACAAAGAAATAGATATCATGAAAAGAACCATACAGAAATTTTGGGGCTGAATAATTCAACCAATTAAATAATAAAATACAATTGAGAGCTTCAACTGCAGACTAATTAAAGCAGAAGAAAGAATCTCTGAACTTGAAAATAGGTCTTTTGAAATGATGCAGTTCAGAGGAAAAAAAGAAAAAAACAGCAGGGTGAAGACAGCCTATGGGACATATGGGATGCCATTAATGAGCAAATATTCATATTATGTTATATAAGGTGGAGAAGAGACAAAGAAAAGTACCAAAGGCTTATTTAATGAAATAATTGTGGAAAACTTTCTAAGTTTTGGAAGAGATATAGACATCCAGATCCAAAAGCTCAAAAGTTCCTCAATATATTTAATCCAAATATGTCCATTCTGAAGCACATTATAATCAAATTGTCAAAAGTCAAAGACAGAGAAAAAATTAAAAGCAGCAAGAGAAAATCATCAAGTCACAGATATGAGAATGTCCATTAGACTATTAGTGGATTTCCCATGTGAAACCATGCAGCTCAGGAGAGAATGTGATGGTGCTGAAGGAAAACAAAAAACAAAACCCTTTAAACAGCAATCCTATGCCCAGCAAATCTGTCCTTCAGAAATGAAAGAGAAATAAAGTCTTTCACAGACAAACAAAAGCTGGTGGAATCCATTGCCATTATACTTGCCTTATAAGAAATGCTTAAAGGAGTAACTCAAGTGGAAACAAAGGATGATAATTATGATCAGGAATACACAGGAAATTAGAAAATTCTCTTGTGGAGGTATTTACACACTCAAATTCAGAATACCCCAATACTGTAATGGTGATGTCTAAATGATACATATCTCTACTATGGAGGTTAAAAGTCAAAACAATCAAAAGTAACTAATGCCACAATAAGTATTAAGGAATGTACAATATAAAAAGGTACAAATTGTAACATCAAAAACATAAATTGTATGTGGAAGAGAGGGTAAAAGTCTAAAGTTTTTGTATGCAACATAAATTTTTTATGAGCTCAAAATAGTGGATTATATTTAAAAGATATTTTATGTAAACTTCATAGAAACCACAAAACAAAAATCTGCAGCAGATTGATAAAAAAAAAAGAGAATCAAAGCTTAGCATTACATGAAATTATCAAATAACAAAGATAGACAACAAGAGAGGAAGAAAGGAAAAAACAGCTGCAAAACATCCAGCGGATTACAAAGGCTAAGCAGGTGGAAATAAATAAACAAGCAAGCAAGCAAACAAACAAACAAAAATCCATGGCAGAAATATCAAAATGTCAGTAGTAAGTCTTTACCTATCAAAAATAACGTCTAATATAAGTGGATTAAATTCCAAAAAAATAAGATATTATGTTATGATAATTTTATTTCCTGAATATATTAGCCAATGGAGATTCTTTGTTCTCAGAAAACTTGGGAGCAGTAACAGCATATTGTTTTACACAATTTAACTAAAACCTCTTTTGATACACTTTTGTACAGATAGCCTCAGCTACAGATGAAAATTTTACCATGAATAATTTCAGGTGGTTGCATGTCAGGTGTAGACATCATTTATACTTAAAAATCAATTAATGTGTTTTCAATAGCTTGTTTGCAACCCCGATCTTCTGTAGAATATAATAATTAAACTCAAATATTTCCCCACTATTGAGACCAAATGCACCTTTTGGGCCAAGATTACATATAAAAGTTAAGAAGGATGTTTAATTAAAGTTGGAGTAACGAGAACATGAACATTTTGTACATCTAATGGCCCATCCTCTACTGAATTTCATGCTATCTGTTTGTAACAGTTTTTCTCCTCTACAGAGTTCCCTTTTGGTCTTTCCCTTTACTCTGCACTGCTGTTGTCCTTGAGTGATTTTTAATACTATTTTGATGACAATCTTTCTATAACACACTCTTCTTTGTCACACCAGTGTCCTTCAATGTTGGATTCTCTCAGCTACCATAAACACTTTCACCCCATAATCACTGTCACCCCATAAACATTGTCACCCCTCAGAACAGACACATTTGCAAGATCTCTAAGTCTGAAATTCCCCTCTTTCACAACTGCACCTTGTTTTACTGACTGCCTTCATTTTTACCATTTTTAAAATGTCTTCTGTCACTTCTAGTTTCTTACCTTACTATTTTTCCTGGTATTTTCCTTCCAGTCTAGTTATTCCTACCTCCACACACCTCTTGCCTGGCCTAGGGCCCCCAGGCAGCCTTTCTGGGATCGATTTGCCAGATTTCTGTATCACACCCTAACCTAGGCTATCCCTGTTTACCCTCCTAGGCTACAGATTGAGTTCATAAAAGCCAACTGAGTGTTCTTCGGTTCTTTCACTTTTATGTTGTGTACTTAAAATGTCCTAAAATAGTTATTCCAGAACGTTTCTCTCCTCAAGTCACTGTTCCTTTGTCCATTTCCACTCTCGTAGAAACCAACATGTCCCCTCTTTCACTTAAAAGAATGAGTCAGACTGCCACAAATTTTGCCAAATCACCACTTCTGTACTTCATCATTCTGAGCACCTGGAAACTTTTAAATAGCTAAAAATTCTGTGTTTTAATCAGTGTTAGGATCATAAAGACAAATACTCCTAAGGAGCTCATAGTTCAGAGTAGTAAATGCACAAGAAACAAAATAATTATAGAATGAGATACATGTTTATAGCAGAGACAGTAACTCAACATCATTTTCAGCATAGAGGTGGAACTATTTGAATCTCCATGAATCTTTATGAAATGATATGATGAATTAAGGAATTAAGGAACTGGTAAAATATATTACATTGTTCAGGATGAGTAAGAAAGTTTCTTTTTGGTTGATTGTTTGTGTTTCACTTTGATGATAATGAATTAATTCCTCATACGTACTCTTTATTTATTTATTTTACAACAGACAGGCCAAGAAGGCATTAAAAATGGAGCAGTAATAACCATGTTCTCAATGAGCTTCTAGTTAGGGTCAACCTAAATTTATTTTGTTCTATTTCATTTTTTCATTCTATGGCATGGTACTCCTGCCAAAGATGCTAATTCTCTTCATCTCTTAGTAACCTTGTATTCCATTTGATAAGAACCATTTTGACATAGAAGGCCACATTTGCCTTACTTTTTCATTAGCTATCTTTCCTATATATGTCCTTGGACTAGAGAAAATACTTGAAATTAGAGTACTTTTTATCAGAAGAACTCACTAGAAGGAAGAAGTGTTTCATATTTACAAGTATATTTGCTGCCTTAGCTGATATACTTAGTGAGTGCATTTTTGTGTATATCCTTAGGTAGAATACAGCAATCAAACTTGGAGATAAAATTAGCAGTGATAATATCAAGGGGCAAAAGGTTTTTTATCTTTGATTATTAGACAAATATGACAACTATATTGTAAAGATCAACTCAATTTTTCTTTTCAAAACTGAGAAGCTGTAGCAGTGAATTCTATTTTTGAGGCCAACTAATTCAAATACTGTGATGTATATTTGGTTACGTTTGGGCCAAAACAAGAACTGCCTCTCATCATTCTACAGTATGATATACTGGTAACATGCCTGTTTTCCTCTGATATGATTGATATGATTAGATTCAACAAGGTTTAAAAATGAAGATGAAATTATTTTGATATATTTTCAAGCAATAACTTGAATTTACGGTCTCTCTTATATTCAGATTCAAAACATTATTTGTGGCTGGAGAACGATGTGATGTGGAGACCCTGGAATGGTCCAAAAAGGTCTTCAGAGTACCTGTCCTAGACCATTGGTGGCAAACTGGTGAGCATTGTCCAAGCATGTACATAAATAATGCAGAAATGCTAAACACACACACACACACACACACACACACACACACACACACACAAAACCACACACACAAAAAAAAACCACTGCAGAGATTGGAGGAAATCCTGAGCTATGACCATCAGACACAAACTCAAGATTCAGCTGCTTCAGATTTCAGTGAAAATAAGTAATTCTTTGACTGTTGTATTATTAATAATGTCTTCATAAGTGACATTGATGCTACCATTCTCTTGGTCCCTAGGTGTAAAATACTAAAGACCTCTTTATCTTCTCTTCTCTGTTTCCTATATCCGGTAAGTTACTAAATCTCAGACTTTCCTTTGCATTGTCTGTTGGATTCATCCCACCTTCAGTACTCACATTGCCTTTGAGCTGTGGCAGCAGCATTATCATCTGACCGAATTTGAAGTACCCTCATCACTTGCCTCTGTTCTCTCTGCTTTTTTATATACCCTGCACACTGCATCCAGAGTCCTTTTTATAAAACACTGCTCCTCTCATAGAATTCTCTGGCAATCTTCTTGTGTTTATAAAATCTAATCTCTTCTGACTAGCATTTGAATCAGAGAAATTTATTTTTCTCCAAAATGACTACCATTATATATGTAATTTATTTATTTACTTATTTTGTTTATTCTTTATTTTCCCCCCGCTGAGTGATCCTTGGAAAACAAATTTTTCTATTAAGTGGATAGAATATAAATTTTGGAAGAAGCAAACAGAAAGAAAAAAACCCTTTCTGCTTTTTCTTTTGAGGGATATCTGTGTACATATGTGAGAGTGGGAAGATTATCTGGAATGCATTTTCCTTCTCACAAAATGTAGAGATTTTTTTTTTTTCATTTGACCAACTGAAAGTAGCTATGAGCTATGGGATCCTTATAGCCTTTATATGTACATATTTCAGTTCAATCCCCCCAACTTCAATGAATTGTATCAACCCTTTTATATAAATGTTTTCAGTAGTTCCACCTTCTGAGCATCTAGGGCAGAGTATCAAATTAGGATTAAAAATTAATAAAGTCACTTTGCATAAATTAGGGCTGACTTGGAAAATGATTTTCATCTAGGAGATCAAGTGAATGACTGAACCTGAGATTCAGTGTTTGATATTTTAAAACTTGTTTGATATTTTAGAACTGCTTTGATTGAGAAATTATATTTTATATTATCTCCTTGGATATTATTCTTTAAACAATGTTTTCTGTATACTTTGTAATATGACACATAAAATGAATGATCAGAGCAGAAGACATGTTCCTTATGTAAGATGAAAATCAGAGAGAGGGATTTTTATTCTATATAGTTTTAGTTACTAAGGTAAAAATTGTTTATTACTCATCTAAACTCAGATTTGTAACTTATTTAGAAAATATAAAATATAAGACTGAATTTAGAGAAAAACCAGTGTTACGTGTATAAATATATAAAAACAAGTGAAGAATTATTACCTCCACAAGAAGACTGTTTATAGTATTGATGTAACCCCTATTATTAGCCAGGAAAGTTTTAGAAGTTATTTTCCTGGGCATGATCTGGAAAATATCTTGTCATCTTTAAGATAATTTTCCTTGCATGGTCAAAATAGAGAGGTTGCTTCTTACACACAAATGACCTTACACAAATGCTTGCAGAAGGGTTTTGTCTCTCCCCTTAAAGATGACTGACTATGCCAATGCTTATTGAAGAAAACCAACACATTCAAAAATAAAATTATAATTGTTTTACTTTTTCTTATAGATATCTTTTTACATATTAGCTTATGTGGATATATGTAGTTCATACGTTTAGGTTTACCAAAAAAGCTCATTGAAGCCTGTGAAACAAGCATATGAGATACCTCCTGGTAGGTACCTCCTAGTACCTCCTAATAGGAGGTACTAGGTATTAGGAGTATCTCCTAATAGGAGGTACTAGGTTTCAGGTGAATTTTCCATTTTTCTTTAATGTATTGTTCAGAGGGAATTAATAGCCACATTGTGTCAGTATACTGTCAGTGTAATCAGGTTGAAATGGCTGCTCATTACTGTGGAGGACAGTGGATTTTTACTAATATAATGACCAATTTTTTTTCTTTCCCTTTAACCATTTGATTTTATAGCACTTAGTATTCTGTCCAATTAAACTATACACATACATACATCTGAATAGGTAGGTAGGTAAATAGATGATAGATGGACAGATAGATAGTTTTATACTTTATAAAAAAGTTTCCTCCTAGGTGATGCATATGTCAGCTACTAATGGGAAATCTAGTTAGAATCTCTATTCCTTTGCATTGCATGTAAGAAATTAATTTATCATCTTCAAAGTTATATGTTGTGGTAAGTAATTATAAAATAATACTGAAGTTCAGCATTTACAACCATTCTCCTTTCTTAAAGGATTATCAAAGTAATGTTAAATTGTCAAGCAAAAAGGACAAGTGCTTTATGCGTTATTCTTAATTCTTAGAAAACAGAGAAACATCTGATAGTTCTAGTGCATTCATAAATTCCCAAATATTTTACATATCAAACAGATGATGGTGCACTTCCTTGAGAGGTAATGCTAATAAACGTGATAATGTTTAAGGGAAGGTTAGCTTGGATCAAAGAATATTTTTCTTTATTTCAAATTTCAAGTTTCCTACAGGGTCCCTTTTTCTTGTTATTAACTTAGAAATTGATATTTTTTACACTCTTATGAGCTTTTCATAGATAGGAATAATTCATGAATTTGGCCCTCTGATTACATTGATATATGTGTATAAATGAACTGTTTAGAAACTGTGATGTGTAATTTGAAATTAGCAAGGGATATGTTAAGTAACTTAAATGTATGAATAAAAATGAATTAGCTCATGTGACTTGACTTGTAAGAAGATACTCTGCAGCCAATCTATTTATATTACTACATTTTATTAGCCAAGGTTCTCCCAAGAGATAGAATCAATAAGATATATTACTAATATATACAGAGAGACAGATAAATGAGAGAGGATTTATTAGGGGGATTGGCTCACATGATGAGGGAGGCTGAGAAGTCTTGCGACAGGCCATCTGCAAGCTGGGGACCCTGGGATGCTGAGAGCATGGCTCAGTCCAAGTCTGAAGGCCTCAGAAGCAAGGATGACAATGGTGGAACTCTCAGACTGAAGCCAAAGGGTTGAGAGTCCAGAGTGCAAAGGCCAGGGAACCTGAAGTTGTCATCCAAGGAGAGAAGAGGAAGGGTGTATTCAAGCTTTGGCAGATAGATCCATACTTAGCCTTTCCTCTGCTTCTGTTCTCTCTGGGCCTGACTGATTGAATGGTGCCTGCCCACATTGAGGGCAGATTTTCACCACCTAGTCCACTCAAACTCACATGCTAAGTTCCTCTGGAAACCTCACAGATGCACCCAAAAATAATGCTTTACCAGGTTTTTTAATCCAGTCAAGTTGACACCCAAAATGATCCATCACCCATCATTTTTGTTACTCAAGTATAATTTGCATTGGCAACATCTTCTTTTGTTTCATTATGATCCATACTCTTTGACACCTGATTTAAATAACATCTAATATTCCAAAGTGAGAACTAATCTGTGGAAAATTAAAGAACAAAGTAGCACCTTCCACTCCTCATAGGAGCATTTTAATAAAGAATTGTTGCTGTTCAACACTACTGAAGCATTAATCTCTTGCTTTGGATTGCAGTAATGTAAACATTTAATGCTCTCATGAAGGAAATTGGTCTTGCTAAGTTTAGAGAGGAGGACTCTATCTATTTGATTTATAAATCTGTTTAACGGCTGAATTGTTATTCACCCAGATGTTTTATCCTCACAGTAACTCATCCGTAAGAAGGCTGGAAACATCTGGAGTATTGACTGAATTTTATGTTTTCTTTTTTACATGGGAGACAAAGGTGCTATAATTGTTATTTAAAAAGGAAAAAATTAAGAGGATAGATAATTGTTCCATTAAAATATGGTAACTTCTGTGCAAAAAAATGAACAGCCAGAACTTCATTATTCTTAGTTGTATAATCCCTGAATAAAACACTGTATTGTTATAGAGGAGATTTCCTGGAAATCAGACAGAAAGCACAATTTTAGGCCTTTGAAGGATCTTTTTTCCCCCTAACTTAAGATGGCTACAAGGGCATTCTTTTTCTTGTAAGTAAATAATCTACTACCAGAAAGAGGATTCCTTATATTTCAGAGACTATTAAAGCCCATAGGCAGTAGTACCTATTTCTTTTTGAGTCTATCTTCCTTCCTTCCTATTTGTTTTAAGATATGGTATTGATTTGGAAATTATTGTAACAACTCATTGTGGAGCCCCAGTTTTTAATGTTTTTTAAGCCTAGGTAGAAACACTTTATTCTTTCACTTACTATTAGTAAGTTAATTCAAGATGACTGCAATGCTAGACTACTCAAGTTCCACAATGGTTTTATAAGGAACAATATTGTTCAGTTCAACAGAATTCATGATTCTTTCCAACTGACAGGATATTATCTGTGTAGTTCCCACCAGAAGTTATAGAATTTATTTTGAAAGTGTTTCAAGTGTCCTTATGTCCAGGTAGTGATGACATAATTGAAATGAGGTAATGACCACCAACTTGATCAATGGTAAGTGATTTTATTGTTTGTTTGTTTTGTTTCTATTACTTTAAATGAGGAATAAAATTCTTAGAAAATTCACAGAATTTTGAAAATCCTAAGAAGGGATTTCAATGAAAAAACAGTAGTTATCTAATGACATTGGTGATGACTGAAGTTATTGATCTTACTTTATCTGCTTTGAGCCATCTTTGTTCAGTTCTTATATTTGAGTAATTAGAGTATTTCTCTTCCTATTTTATTGAACTGCTGCAGTTTTAATTGCAATTGAAGTTCTGAAGTAACTATAGTCTATTTACAGCCTAAATCTTCCTCCTTTAGGGAAGAATCTGATAATTCTGGATTTTATTAAAGTGGACCCAAAGGCTCCAGCAAACTTCA